TAAAGTTTTTTAGATGGTTTAGATTAGCGTGAACTTGGAGCTACCGGCCTGGGATACGCGTGTCGCGGTCATATGAAAGGAAAGGTAAAAGCGGCTCCTTTGATCATCGCACCACATATAATCGCTTCTAAGACCTGCCCCCTCCTTTCCCCCTTCCCTCCCTCTCTCCACTTCCTACTCCTCCGATACCTGATTGTTCAGTACCGAAGTCAGTCATTCAAAATTTTATTTAAAATTGAATTTAAAAAAAAAAAAAAATTAATTCACGCATCGTTTATTTCACGTAATCGATTCGATTTTTTTCTTTTTTTTAATTGAAAATTTTTAAAATATATCGAACGATATATCGATCGATATATCGATTTTTTTTAGGAGAGAAGAAGAATGAGTGAGAAAAATTAAAACGACCGTAGAATTTTTTTTTTTAACTCCGTTATAATTGAGAGTAAATTTATGTCTCCTGTAAAAAAAAAAAAAAAAAAAAAAAAAATTTAATCTGCTTCCACGATAAAAACTTACATAATTATTACTATTATTTATAAAGTGTTTATAGGATGGGCGGAGTATTTGAACTGTTCTTACGTAGATTTTCGGGGTAAAATTTTACCCCGATCTAAAAAATTTCTTTTAATAATTTCAAACTCACCAAAAGAGAGAGAAAGAGATATAGGGGAGAAAAGGGAGGGGGAGGGGGTTTATCTGTGTATTGATATGATTTTCCAAATATTTAAGGTATTGTTTTTATACCTGAAACAAATTAACAATTTTTTTTTTATTTCGATTCATTCGGATAGATTCATTTAATTAGATAATAAAAAAAAATAAAAAAATTGGGGTTTTAAATAAAAAAAAAAAAATTAAAACAAATTTTCGTACCTGAAAAAAAAAATCCCCTTATTTAATTTTTATCGTCTTCTGCTACCGATTGATTTTATATAAGAAAAAATTTGTTTGTACCTGGGGTTGGTTTATAAAAAAAAAAAGAAATTTTTTTATTTTTTTATATTATGTAAATTTATAATAGTTTTTTTATTTTCCAATAAAATAATTTTCCGTTTATCGAAATTAGTTTTTCTTTTTCTAACCCGAACTTTTACCCAATCACTCTCTCTCTCTCTCTTTCTCTCTCTCTTTTATATACGAGTAGGAATCATGGATTGTTTTGCAATAAAATAATTTTCCATTTTTTATAATATCACCCGTTTTTTTTTATTTTTTTTTATTTTTAAATTAATCTGTTTGTACGTTTGTTTGTTTGTGCGTACGTGCGTGCGTGAGTGCGTGAGTGCGTGCCGGTGTTTAAGATTTTAGTAATAAATTTTTTTTCTTTACTTCTTGGCAGTTGGAAAAAAAATACACTGATAAAAGATTTTTTTTTCTTTTTTACCTTCGCTTATTCTTATTCTTTTCATTATTTCTATCTTTCTCTCTCTCTTTCTCTCTCTCTCTCTCACTATTGCGGCATCTTTTGCTTTTGGTGGTTAAAAAAAAAAAATAAGAAGAAGAATAATAGAAGATTTTAAACTTTCTACCTTTTTGTGTTTTAAAAATCAGCAGGTTTCTCAACGGGTGGTGGTTTTTTCTTTTTCATTACTGATATATTCGATTTAAACGAACCTGATTTTTATCTTTCTTTCATTCTTATCTTTGAACCTTGATACTATTCTCCTGGGGTTCAATATTGGATAAATTTTCAATTGAATGTGAATGTGAATGAATGAATGAATTAACTAACAAACGAACAAACGAACGAAGGAGAACACCAAAGATGTTTTTTCTACTCTTTTTATTTTCTCTCGTTTTCAATTAATTCCGAAATTATTATTATCATTATTATTATTATTATTATTATTATTTTGGTAAAAAAAAAAATCTTTCATTTTCTTGTTCGCGTTCGACAAACAACCACCGATAAATTTTTTTTTATTCGGTCGGTCCAAATAAGAATAATTACACTGAACACGGTTAACAATCGCAGGCAGGCCCTATGGTTGTTGTTAATGCCGCCTCATTACCGTTTCGGTAACTAAAAAAAAATACTATTATTATCATTATCATTATTATTATTATTATTATTGGTTTTATTCCGGTCCGATTGTCGATATTCTCTTTTTCATACGTCGTTTGTTGTGGGAGAAAAAAATTTTTTTTTTTTTCTTTTGGGTTAAATATAAATATTTATGTTTGAATTTAAAAAGAAAAATGGCGGATTAAACGATTCGTTAAAGATTGCATCGACACCAGAATTTAAAAGGAATCCTATTGAAATTTAGGGGGTGGAAACGGGGAAGGGGAAAGGGGGAGGAGAGGAAAGGAAGTTTGGTTGTGTTACAGAAAAAAAAATATTTTTAAGAATTCAATTTTATTATTATTATTTCTTTTTTTTGTGAATGACATTTTTGTTATGAGACCACCCCGACTGAATGCGAGGGAGGGATGATAAATAAAAAGCCGAAACTCACGCACGCACACACGCACACACACACGCATTCGTCTGCGGTGGTCAATACGTTATTGTTATATTTACAATTGAAAAAAGGATGTGAATGGATGAAATGTTAAATAGAAAAAATTTAATTTTTGACACCTAAAAAAAAAAAAAAAAAAAAAAAATGGCGACTTTGAAATGTGCCACTTTTTTTTTGTTACCCTAAATAAAATTTATTTCCGGTTAATATAAAAAAAAAATTTCTAAAACGGATGTTCTCCGTCAGTTATAAAAATTTTTATATTTAAATATTAATAATATTAAATAATAATAATGATAGATTTCATATGAGGAAAAATTTTCTAACGCGACAAATTCAATGATGATGACAACAACAACAACAACAACATGTTGCGTGGGCGTGTTTATTATTATTATTTATCTACAGCTCATTTGCGCACGATAATTTTTTTTCTTTTCTGCCTTTTAAACATAATAATTTTACTTCGTATCGGAAGGAGGGGGGAGAGGGGGGGAATAGCTAAACCTCATCCAATCAATCAATCAATCGTGATAAAAAATTTTTTGTAATTAATTACGTTTAACTTTCTCCGACCGGTTTTTCCCTTTACTTAAAAATCCGTAAGCGGAAAACTACGACCGAAAGTAGGCAGAAAATTCTCATTGAAGAGAAAGGAAAAAAAAAATTTTAACAAATTCTAGAAAGGAAAAAAGGAAAAAGAAAAAACAGATATTATGATAATGTGCGCAAATGATATTCTCGCCGCACGTAATGACAGGTAGCGGCGCCCCGAGGGCGGTTAATTACTGTTCTTTTGATGTTGCCGCCACTACTACGGGGCCTATAGAACCACCATCGTATACGCACACCAAACCGTTTCTTTCTATAAGTTTAACACTATCCCCTCGTTCAATCTCTATTAAAATATCACTGGAAAAAATAATAATGATAATAATAATAATAATAATAAAATATAAAAAAAAAAAAAAGATATGAAAATGGTTTATTATTGATGATGCATAAAAAAAAAAAAGCTAAGCGTCCTCTTTTTAGTTTTTAAATAATAATAATAATAATATATTGGATTATGTATAAGTTAAACGTAAGCGGTTAAAAATAATCACTCATCAACAATCATTGGGTAATTTCAAAACATTTCAAAAAAAAAAAAAAATAATAATAATAATAAATAATAAGTTTTAGAGTTAAGTCGGACTTTCTTTCGTGTGTGTGTTTGTTGCTCTCTATGGAAAGAAAGAACAACCAACAACCACACGAGAGATGAACCACCTTGAACAGGTTTTTTTTTTTTTTTACCGACCCTGAATCAATTTTGTTTTTTTTTTTTTGTTTCTGATGTTCACAATGATTGGTATAAATAATAATAATAATAATAATAATGATAATAATAATAATAAAACGAACGGCTTTGAAAATAAATCATTTAAAAAAAGTGTTACACTAATAATAATTTTTTTATTTAAAAATTTTTTTTTACAACGAATTTTCATTATTATCATTATTATTATTGCAAAATATTTTATTTGTTTTATAACAATTAAAAAAAACATGTTGAAATAATAATAATAATTACTTATTAACGTATAAAAATTTTTTAAACAAATCACGTTCGTTTATTATTTAAATAATTTTTTTTTTCGTATTTTTTACGTGAATTTATATATTTTTTATGGTAATAAAGATAACACATAACCGTTTTTTTTGGGGGGAGTGAGGTGGGAAGAGGAGGGAAGGGAAGAGGAGTATACGATTCATCATCGAAATTTTTTTCGTTCGAAACGGTTAATCTGCCGCCATTTATAAAAAAAAAAAAAGAACTCACCCTTAAATTATGCAAGATTTTTTCTACTCGTTTTAAACCCTTTTATTATTATTATTATTATTATTATTAAGCTACCTGATTTTTTTTTCTAGAAAAAAATCGTCTATAAACAAAAGGGTAAAAACGTTAGGTTTTTTTTTTTATACAAAACGGAAACGGATGGAATAATATTCGATTTATGTGGAAATAACAAAAATTTTTTTCTTATTCTTCTTCCTTTTGCGATGGGGGGTAGGGGTAGGAATGGGATGGTGTGAGGGGAAGGTTCAATTTTTTATATAAAATGAAAATTGTTATTATCCACGTGTCAGTCCGACCCTGTAATATTTAAGTTTTTTTTTTCAAGTTCAAACAAAAGCAAAAAAAGTTCTAATTATAATTGATGCACTAGTGAAGGGAATGATAGATGTTTTTTGCTCCCAGCAAAATGGTTGAATGTTTTTTAATTACTCTCGTTTCTTCTCTTAAAATTTTTTTTTTCTCTTCAAGAATTGTTTCGATAAGTAAAAAAGAAAGAAAAAGAAGAGGGAGAGACAAAAAAAAAAAAAAGAAATTTATTATAATTATCATCATCATTGTTACAGGTGCAAGTGATTCTCGGGGCAATATCGTCTGTGGTTAGATCGCAAGCTCAGATAGAACCAATTGAACCATCGGCAACGAATCAGGTACCGCCGCCTGATTTACCACCGAATACAATTGCTAAAATGCAATTAGAAAAATTTAATCTTGATGAACCACAGGGTATGACAAAAACATATCTCGCTGATAGAAGCATCACTTGCAATGATGGTTCACCATCCGGGTGAGTGGTCGTGTAATTACACCGCCGACAAAGTTTTTCATTAAAAAAAATTTTTTTTTGCCGGTTAAAAACAAACCGAAAGGTGAAGAAGAAATAATAATAATGATAATGATAAAAACTCGTTATTTGAATGATTTGTAAAAAATATTCAAAAATTTTTTTTTTCTTCTCTTAAGCTTTTAAATTGAAAAAAAAAAGAAAATTTATGCTAAATCATTGAATAATAAATTTGAAAATTAAAAAAAATTATTTTCGCCATATGATAAACATGAATGTAATGTTTCATCACAAAAAAAAGGAAACGAGAAATTAAATAGATCATTTTTTTTTTTTTTTTTTTTGTAAATAAAAGGTCACTGGAAAAAGTCACTGACTGGACTCGAAAGTTGTAAAAACGTTTGAAAGACATAAAATTTTATTAACCGATGATTCCTTTTATTTATTTATTTATTTTTTTTGCAGATTTTACATAAGACATTCTCAGCAAGGGATGAGTAAAAAATGGATTGTATTTTTAGAAGGGGGTTGGTATTGTTACGATCATAAAAGCTGTCACACACGTTGGATGGATATGAGAACTTTTATGTCATCGAAATTATGGCCTCCGATGAAAATGGGTTAGTTTTTTTTTTTTACGTTTATTTATTAGCCGATTGGGTGTAATCAAGGGAGTTTGTTTCAGTGGGTGGCATACTTTCGGGAAATTCGGAAGAAAATCCATTTTGGTGGAACGCAAATCACGTATTCGTTCCTTATTGCACCAGTGATTGTTGGAGTGGAACCCGAGCGCGGGCGTTCGGGGGTTCACGATTTAGTTTTATGGGAGCATTAGTCGTGCGACAGGTCATACTTGACCTATTACCTCTCGGTCTCGAAAATGCTACCTCATTGATTCTAACTGGAAGTAGCGCGGGAGGAATTGGAGTTTTATTAAATCTCAATTCCGTTAAATCTCTTCTTCACGACGAACTTCGTCTGCACCACATAGCGGTCAAAGGTATTTCCGATAGCGGATGGTTTTTAGATCGAGAACCCTATTTAAAAAATCAACAAACTGTCACGCCGGTTGATGCTGTTAGAAGAGGTATAGCTCTTTGGCAGGGAAAAGTTCCGACATTGTGTGCCGCTCAATATCCTAACGAGCCGTGGAGGTGTTATTTCGGTTATAGGATTTATCCTTTTCTAACAGGTAAATTATTATTATTATCTCTGTTACAAAAGCCTTTGTGATACCGACATGCTAATTAAAATCTTTTTTAAAAAAACCGAAGACATAATTCTGATCGATAGATCGATCCATCGATAAAATCAAAAAAAATTTTTTTTTTTTTTTTTTTTTTCATTTAAAGCTCCTTTGTTTGTGTTTCAATGGCTTTTTGATGAGGCTCAAATGGCAGCTGATAAAGTTGGTGCACCGGTAACAAAACATCAATGGGACTACATACATAAAATGGGAGATAGTTTACGACATACTTTTCAAAATGTTTCGTGAGTTTTTTTTCCTTTTTTCTCTTTTTTTTTTTTTCGTTAACACCTGGAAATAAATTTTGTTTTTTTCTCTTTAGAGCTGTTTTTGCTCCATCTTGTATTTCTCATTCCGTATTAACAAACAAAGATTGGGAAATGATTAAAATCGATGAAATAAGCTTTCCACAAGCAATCAAATGTTGGGAACTTAATTTACAACAAACAAGACCAATGCAAAATCATTACACAATCACAAACGAAAAGTAAATATTTTTCTAAATTATTTTCTTATAGAAAATCCCCTGGAATTTTTATACTCATAAAAATTTATAAAATTTCAGCACTGGAACGTCAATGTTGGCCGATGCACCTCTCGATAATTTATTAAAAACCCAAAGGAAATCGATACAGTTAAACATATACAGAACGGTGGAAGAAGAAACAAATAATACGTCACACGACGAAAGAAAAAGAAGAAGAAAAAAACATAAAAATAAACAAAGAACGGATAAACAAAACAGAGGAAGAAGGAAAAAAAGATTGGGTAAATATAATGACCAAAGAAAAAAGAAAATTTTTTAAAAATTATTAATATTTTTTAATAATTTTCTTTTTCAGGAAGAAAAAATAAAAATCGTCCAATGAGATCATCCCCCATAATTGGTACGGTGAGCATAAATACTTCCGGTACATCCGGAAATAATCAAAAAAAATGTCAACAACATTTAATTGAAAGATGCACGTGGCCCCAATGTAATTATTCATGTCCGAAACTTCATAATCCTTTCACAGGTAAAAAAAAAAAAAAACGCGAAATTATTTAATAATCTTATCATTCTTATCAGCAAACTTTCTCGTACTCATCCTCGACACCATTTCCGTTTCCGCCACGCTTAAAACTTTTTTCAATTTTTTTTTTATTACAGGTGAGGAAATGGATTTTATAGATTTATTAAAATCATTCGGTATGGATATGGCAAGTGTGGCAAATGCTTTAGGCATAGATATTCACACTTTAAATAATATGAGTCACACGGAATTGTTAAATTTATTGACTCAACAGTCTAATAGGTAGTTAGTTACTCGTTTTAGAAAACAAACAAACAAACAAACAAACATAACAAACAAATAATTATCCCTAAGTAAACACATAAAATAAAATAAATGTTTTAAATGTTCCTATATATAATTGACAAAAAAAAAAACAAATAATTATTTATTCTCTTATCTTATTATTATTATTATTATTATTAATAGATTTTATGATTTATATAATAATAATAATAATAATCATAATATTGATGATAGTTTTTTTTTTTTTTAGGATTTTCTTTTTAAAAAAGAAAATTTTTCTGTAGAGTATGTAAATAATAATAATAATTTAAATAAATATGTATGTATGTATATGTATATCGTTGTAGATGATGTTAGTAGTTAAAAAAAGGAAACGATAATAATGATAATATTAATAATGATGATAAAAAGCTCAGTGTAAATATTTATAAATTATTTTATTAAGGTTGTAAAGGAAAGAAGAAGAAGAAAACACATTGGATTTTTTTATTAATTATTAATAAAATCTCCCCCCCCCCCAGTGGTTTATCCAGTGATTTGGATTCTTATCATCTTATCAAATTGATTATTATTATCAAGGTAATTTTTTTTTTTTCATCAAATAATATTTATTTACGGAAACAAAGGAAATAAGGAAAGAAAAAAAGTACAATTGCAACAGCTTTAAGAAAATATAAAAAAAAAACATTTCGTAAATTATTATTATTATTATTAATTAATCGTTCGTTAATTTCATCATCATCATCATCATCATCATCAATATCATTTACATTATGCGTTTTCATTAAATAATAATAATAATAATAATAGTTGTAATGATAAAACGTGGTTAAATGTGTATTAGGTAGAGAGGGTAAATTCTTATAGATGTTGCATTGTTTTTAGTTTTTAAGTCGGTTTTTTTTTTTTTAGTATTTAGTGTACTAAATTTAAATTTAAATTTAAATTAAAAACAATTTAAAGCCAAATTAATTAATTGTTTGTAGTAATTAATAAAATTTTTAAACTACCTCTTTTGTTCATTTTAATATTAAATGATGGATATTAAATTTAAATTTAAAAAAAAAAAATTTTTTATTTTTGATTTACAAAATTATTTTAATTTTAACCCTTTTTTAATTACGTTAATTGAAATTATTATTATTATTTATATTCGTATTATTATTATTATTATTAAACGAAAAATTACGACGGGGTGATTCATCGGTAATACTTTACAAAAGTTCAACAGGTAAGTAATGTAAAAAAAAAAAAAAATTATCCAGGTGTCGTTTCCTCTTTTAAAAACAAATCAAGAAATTTCCCCTCCCCCAACCCCTCCCCTCCGATCGTTATTCGTTCGTTTTAAATTTAATTAAAAAAATTTTTTTTTAATTGTTTAAATAATTTTTTAATTAAATAATAATAAAATAATTGGCGTCGTAAATATTATTGATTTCTTAATTAAAAATAAATTAAAGTTGATTTTATGTTTAAAAAGTTTTTCAAAAATTTTCTTTTTAAAAGTTTTTTGGCGCCAAAAAGTTTTTAAAATAAAAAAATAAATAAACCGTACGAATGATAAATTTTTTTTTTGTCGATGATGAACTCATCATACGTACCCGCGGATTTATTTACTTAATTAATTTTTTAATATTTATTAAATGGAAAGGTTCAATAGCAGACGAAACTCTTGGACAAAGTACAGAAAAAATTGGTTGGACGGTCAGTACCTGAAAAGGAAAAACGCTTCTAACACCAATAAGAAAAACCTCGGAAGTGATAGGAGAGTTGCAAAATTTTCCGGATTGGTGGTTTGTATCAAATCTTAGAAAAACGTTTTAAGGTTGTAGTTGTAAAGGTCGTAAGGTTGAGGTCGTAAGGTCGTGAAATCTTTATAAATTCAAATAAATATAATATCGATCGAGAATAAGCAACAAACAACAAACTTTTTGAACGATCTTCACGCACACGAAATAATAAGGATAATAAATAATAAACATTTCCTTCGACATTACGAACTCTCTAGAAATAATAATAATAATAATAATGTCAATTACGTTTATCATCTCCCCACATATTTGGTCTCCCGGTTTAAATTCAGTGTAAATGATTATCACGTTAAACTTTTGTTATTTCGTCAGGTGAAATTTTGTGTATTGCGTCGGGAGGACATGTTAAAAAAAAAATTATAATTAAAATGCGTAATAATTTATCATTATTATTATCATCATCATCGAAATTTATCGGATTATTATTATTATTATTATTAAATTTCGTAAGTAAAATATCGTGTTGCGGATATTTGACGGTGTCGTCGTTACCCGGTAATAAATTAGAATTAAATTGGAATTGCGATGAATATATAAATAGCATATGGATTTACGATAAGGATCCAATTGAAATTCCAGGTGAGTGTGAATTCATTTCCGGTTTTATCGATAACGCGCGCGACAGAGCGTGACGAAAAAAAATTTTTTTTTTTTTTTTTCCAGATGCTCAACCTTTGAATATATTTTTCACGGATAATTTTTTAAAAGGTTATTTCGATACGAATATCACGTATAATCCAGAACCTTTTCCCGGAGGTTGGTCGAAGAATGATGATGGCGATGATGATGATGATAATAAAAACAATAATAATTATTGTTTATATTGGTTGGTGATTAATTATAAAGAAAAAAAAAATAAAATAATAAAATGTTTTAAAATAAATCCGACTTGGATGGGTGATAACAAGTAAGTTACGTATTTTTTTTTTTTTTTTAAATAATAAAAATTTATTTATTTTTTTTTTTTAAATAGGGAAAAGTTAAAATACCTTTCGCTACCGTTAATGTTTATACCGGGTACTCATAATTCGGGTACTGTTGTTAAAAAAACAAAATCAAAATTTAATCTCAGTCATTTGGATAATTTAATACTCACTCAAGATGAAAGCATATGGAATCAACTCGTTTATGGTATAAGATTTTTAGATTTTAGAATTGGTTATTATCCACAGGAAAAGGATCCGGATATGAGGTTTTCTTCTTCTTCTTCTTAACTTTAAGGAATCTCTGTTTGAAAGGTACATTAAAAAATCCTCCATTTTTTTTTTAAGGTTTTGGATAAATCACGACATGTTAAGAATTCAACCGCTTTTACCCGTTTTAAAAAATGTCGTCCAATTTATAAAACGTTCACCGGATGAAATAATAATATTAGATTTTCATAGATTTCCGGCTGGTTTTAAAAATAAAAATTCTAGATTAATTCACATGGAATTAATAAATTCAATCGAAAAAGTATTAAAAAATTTAACCGTACCACGACCTCCGAGTCAAACAAAACTTAAATTGGAAAATATTTGGAAAAGTGATAAAAGACTCATTGTCAGTTACAGCGAAGATAATTTTGTTTGGGGTATTCTGATTAACTTTTAAAATTTGTGCTTTAATCGATAAAAAACTTTTTTTAAAATTGTTTTTTGTTTTGTAGAGACTCCTTGGTTGTGGAGTAGCGTTTCTCAAAGATGGGGTAACAAAAGAACGCCGTCAACATTGGAAAAATTTTTAGATAATACATTTAGAGATGTAGCACCGAGAAAATTATGGGCAGCCATGGCTGAATTAACACCGACTCCATTAGATTTTTTAGGAAGTGGATCTCTGAGATCAATGGCGAATAGCGTTAACGGATTATTAAGTACTTGGTTTATTGAAAAAAAAAATTGGACGAGTAGAGCTAATATCGTTGCACCGGATTTTTTCCTTGGTACTAATTTGATAAATATTGCCATTGAAGAAAATTTAAGGAGAGCCAACGAAAACAAATAATTTACATAAGTAATTTTTCTTATTATTATTATTATTAACCGTTTTTAATAACCGAAATTAATAAGGTGTGTGGTAATTTATCTTTAACTTCTTTTCTTTCTATCTAATTTTATATATAAAAAAAAGAATAATAATAACTTTTTTTTTTTTAACGGTTTTTTAATTAATTAAATTTTTTTTAATGTTTAGATAAACAGTTAAGTTTTAAATAATAAAATTTTTTTTTTAACTTTCGTAAAATTAAAAATTATTTTTTCTTTCTTTCAAATTATTAATACTCATTTTAATTAACAAAAATATTCTTCTTCTTCTTCTTCTTTTTTACTTTTTTCTCATTCACAGCCCCTTAGTATTAATTATTCGTAGTAGAAAAATTAATAATAAAAAAAAAAGTAATAATAAGTGTAAATAATATATACGAACGTTGTTTAAATTTTTATTACTTGAGAGTCACAAATTAAACAATGATGTGTGAGATTAAGGCAATCTTCGTGAAATATGTGTTTACAATAAAAAATAATTAAATTACTCGTTGAATCTCCCCGATGTAATGTTCTTTCGTTGCAAGCCCCACATATTTGTTCGTCGTCGACTCTTATTCCCCTCCTGTGTGTATTTATTAACCTTGCTTGCAAATTAAAATAATCCTTTACCAAAATTTTTTTACAGCCTTCTTGAACGGAAACCTACGTCATAAATACCGTCATTAATTTAAATCAAAAACTAAAATTTTTCTTAGTACGATTTAAATTTTAATAACGTTGTTTACTTGTAAACGATAGTCCTTCATCATTTTCCCTAATGAATTTTTCAAACCTGGAATGGGTAGTCCCGGTGCTATTCTCCTGACGAGAAGTCTTGGATCAATTGCTGTACCTATATTTTGTAAAAGATATGTTATGAAATCCGGTTTGTTGAGCGAGCTCTGTATTAAATTCTGTAAGAAAAAAAGAAGAATGAGATGAATGAATGATTGTTTGAGATAATTTTCGTCATGTTGTTTTTGTTTTTTTGACACTCTACCTCCCATAATTCCGCATCATCTTGTTCTTTACAAAAATTTGTCGCTTGTTCAATGTTTTTAAGTTCTTCCGTCATTAAAATTAATGCTTCTTTTGAATTACCCATTCTTGCCAACAAATGAACCATTTCTGGGAAAAATTTCCTTTCCTGACATATGTTCAATGCTTCCTGTATGGGATAATGATCGCTTCTCCTTAAAAACGGAAGTAATTTTTCACGGGCGAAATCAGCGTGTAATTCGATTAGTTGACCGTGATATTTCCTACTGATTTCACCATCTTTATCTTGTTTGTCTAATGCGTCTAAATATTTGTGAAGGAAATATCGATTATTCTAAAAACATATAATAAATAAAAACTAATAAAACGATGTCATCAGATTACAAGATTAAAATCTCATCAATCAAAAATTGATGATCCTAATGGCGATTGTAAACAACAACGTGGTAATTTTTCCTATTGCTATGAGTACCTGTAATTTTTCCACTATCACATCGACCGGTATTGAATAATTATTTAAAAACAAAATAACTGCTTGATCCGGATCCAAATTCATTAAATGCTCAACCATACCGTGAATGGACGAATATAATTTATGCTTTTTGATCAAAGAAAAAATGTTTTTATCTCTGACTTTTAAATATGTTTTCAAAGCTAAATCATATTTTTTTTCATGAGTGTATAATATAGCCAAAGCTTCCAACAATATCATATTTTTGGTATCGTTCATCGACATGGCTACGATTTGATTGACCACAGCTGTTATTATGGCAGGAACATGGTATAAGTTGGAAGGCCATTCTTTAATCAATTTTAAAAATCCAGGAGGATCTGTGTTGAGAAATTCAAAAAGGACCATTTCGTAAACTTGTTGACTCAATTTGTAATCTCCGATTGGTAAGTAAGAACTAATGGCTTTAAGCTGTTGAACTCGAGCAAATTTATAAAAACTTTCTTCCCATAATTTTTTTTCTTTACCTAATTAAAATTTTAAAACTTTGTGTTATTCATGTCCAAAAACAAAATCATTGGGTAATTTTAAAAATGAAAAAAAAAAATTAAAGTTACCTAATATTTTTTGACACAGTTCACCTGCTTTACGATATTCTTTTTGCAATAATAAATAATCTATATATGATTTTCCTACTTCTAAAATTGTAAATTTATTCGAATCTTTAACAGCTTCAAGTGCATCATCAAATTTCTGATGTTTTATAAGCCATGCAACTTTATCATTTGCATCATATGGACAAGCAACAACAATATCACGAGGAGAAACAATAAAGTACCGGTTTTCTTTTCTAACTGACTCCAAATGGTAGTCATTACAATTGTAAGTTCTATATTCCTTAAAAATAAGTTCATCTGGTCCTGCTACCTAAAACCATTTCAAGGTTAAAAAGTTCTGTTTTTTTTTAATAGAGTTTATATGTAAATGTATGTTTAGTGTACTTCAATGTAATCATTTCCAATCGGCTGAACAATTTGAAGTGTTGGTCGTTTAACAGTCCCATCATCATCTAATGTTTTTGCAACTCCTAATAATACAATGTGTAAATCGGTTTTATTAGTAGATTCTATAAGTGGTGCAATACCAGATATATAAAAATCAGTAGTAAAAGAGTAAATAATATCTATTCTGTAAGGTGGTAGTTTTTGAGGGAGAACAAAATTTTTTTCACTACTATTTCTGCGTCTGATGCTGCAAACTCTGACAACATCAACCCAACCAATCTGTAACAAAAAATTGATTTTTTTTTTTTTTTAATTATTCTTAAGTTTTTTTAATAAGAAAATACCAATAAATTATCAAATTTACCAAAAGTGTTAGGTCATCGAACCAAACCATATTGCACCTGAAGTCAGAAGATGTAACACATCGATTTTCAGGCCACTTAATGAGACCAAGAGAGCATTTATTATCTACATCATACACTCTTACACCAATATCAGAAGTCCAAGCAACAAATTGCTTACTCCAAACAATATTTTGCACAAATCCTTCAGCCTCACTAATCATTGTTGATCTATACATATATATATATATAAAAAAAAAAAAAAAAACTACTTACTTAAAATTTAAATTTTAAAAAATTGTTTGCATTAATTCCACATACTTGAAACCATATAATAGTGCTTTTTCATGAAGAACCAGTCTTTCATCTCCAGTTATAAATCTCCTATGAGAATTCAATTTATAATATAAAGGATCAATAGCAATAGATTTAACTAAACGTCCAATATTTAAATCGTAATCATTCTCTGAAGTGTAAAGGCCACAAACATGAACATAACCATCATCAGAACAACTGGCAACAAAATCCCCTCTTTCATCCATACTTATTTTATTTATCGAAACTGAATGTCCTTTTAATTCCTCTGAATTTTTAACTATGTTTCCTTGATGATCAAATAAATGTATTGATCCCCAAGTTGTTCCCATACAAATTAATTTTGGATGAACAGCAAGACAAGTGGCTGAACATTTTCCTAAAACTCCTGTCAAATTATTTTTTAACCTAGCATATTTAAGTTTAGGTAATTCTTCTTCTTCCTCCTCCTCTTCTTCTTCTTCTTCATCTTCATCCTTTTCTTTATTGGTTTGAATGCTGTGATTGGAATTGGAGCTTATTTCTGTAATTGTAAATATTTATACAATATTTTTTTAAAAAAGAGAAAGAAAAAAATTTTTATATGTAATAAAAAAAAAAAAAAGAAAAGAAAAGATAAATAAACATACCTTTACTATCCATGATTTTTTTTAAATAACGGTTTAATTTTGGTTAATGTGTCTTTGATATGGAATATTTACGAGTGATAGTAGTAATAATAATAAAAATAATAATAATAATAATAACAATACTTCATTTTGAAATCATCGCTGCCATCATTAATTTAACTTGGTTTCCACATAAAAGTAATTCGTATAAAAATTTTATTTTTTTACATTAAATCCTAGTTTATTTCTATTTGAAAAAATTAAGAAACGAAAAGGAAAATTTTTTAAAAATAAATTTATCACGGAATAAATAAAAAAAATTATTTTAAAGTTTTTCAATTGAAAAAAAAAATTGTACTTTATCAGTGTATGGCAAGCAATTTAAATAAGTTAATAATACAATAACAAAGTTGATAAGCAAACTATTGAAAACAATTTTAATGGTGAATTATTTAAGACATTCTAATTGTAATTTTTTTTACATGTAAACAATGTTATTCTGGTTTTTCGAAGTTATTTTTCTTTTTTTTTTTTTCAGAAACGTACCTTTAATCAATAATTAAGTTTTTGGGATTTTTCAAAAGGCTCAGCTAAATGACGTCACATTCTCAAGTCAGCTGTTCAGTTTAGAGATTTGCTTTCCTGAGAACGGACGTGAATAATGTGCGCATTCGTGCTGTGTAGAATTTATGATTGATTTTTCAATAATCTTATAAGTTTTTAATTGGTAATAAAATACTCTATAACAATGTTTTCGGGGATAACAAATCAAATGAGTCAAGTTAGCAGCTGGATCGGCGTCAAAAAGGGGGATGTCGATCCATCCAAATCGTCTACAGAGGAAAAAGCTAGTTCCCCAAATGTTGAAAACCAGGATGCCCCTGCAGAAGGCACGAGGTAAAATCTTTTAGACAAAAAGGCAATAAAAAATTTACTGCTTTATTGCTCTCCAATATCTATTTATATATATATGCTTGTATTTATACTTTTCCTTTGTTGAGGTTTGAAAAAATTGACTCAAGCTTTTTAAAAAGCTTTGAAAATCACTAAACTTTTTGCTTTTTTTTGAAGCTCTACCATATCCAATAATAAGTAAAATCAAATTTTTTTGATAAAAGCTTACAATAAATATTAGAAACATTTCATTTTTTTTCCATTTGAATGCTAAATTGATTAAAAAGAATTCACTAAATAATACAATATGTTTGTATAAGATTTATTTGATTATATAATATAATCAAAAAATTTTTCCTCTTAAAATTGTATTAACTGATTTCGAATTGTATTGTTTTACATTTTCACAGATTTCAATGAAAAATTTTTTATCCCCCCCCCCTACTATTTTAAAATGCCAAGTATTGATTTGCATTTGTTTCTTTGTATTTAAAATAATGTACTGTTTAACATTTCAATAGAACCTTAAAATTAAAATTTAATTATATTTTTGAATTATTTCATGTATTATTTACACAGTCCTACTGCGAGTAAAGGAAGCAAATTTGAAGTATTATCGAGTGTTAAAGGTCAGATGACAAGTTGGATTGGTAGTGTTCAAGTACCGAGTGTACCTAATTTGTTTACCAAAGGAAGCAACACTACTTCATCATCTGAAACACAAAATGTTGAAGGTGGTAGTGGAGATGGTAAAGCTGATTCTCCAACATCTGGAGAATCTGTTAAAGGATCTCCTGAGCAACAAAAAGATGAAGATGACAATTCCAGGTAATCATCACTTTTAAATTTAAAATGTTAACACCTGATATTACCTATAAAGTTTCTATTATTTTTATTTTTATTTTTATTTTATGATATCTCAGCCCTAAAATTGAATAATAATAATAATAATTAAATGCCTCAATGTAAATTTTATTCAAACATGCAATCAATATTATTAAATTAAAAAAAAAAATAAATAAGTTGCTTTTGAAATTTAAGAATTATAAAAAAAATATCAACTTAACTATCATTTTCAAAAAAAAACAATTCAGGTATTTACAAAAAATAAACAAAAAGGTACACAATACTTATTATAGAAAAACAAAATCAGGTATGGCGGATATGCAAATATAAATTTATAAATATTAAATTGTAAATTATTCTTGTCATAAAACAATGAGTATAAATTTTATATAATGTATAAGATAAATTACTCCATGTTTTTTGTAATTAGGGGAGAAAAAAATATTATTATTATTATTATTATTATTTGTTAAAACTACCCTTTTCTCTCATCGTCGTCGTCTATCTCTTTTCTTTCCACAGGGTAGAAAAATTATTTATTTTACAGGTAATTAATAAAAATTAATTATTAAATCGATTCGGACTATTAATAAAATGTTATTTAACAAAAAAAAAATCTCATGATGTAAAATATTTGTACCGTAACGTTATCAAAAAACACAAAGGAATTCAATAATAAAGCAAATAATAATAATAATAATAATAATAATAATAATAATAATAATAATCATAATAATAATAATAATAATAATAATTTTATATTATATTCAAAGTGGCTGAGATAAACTTTTTCTTTTATTTATTTATTTATTTATATACTTGATTTGAATCGATTTTTTTTGTTTTTTTTTTTTTTGATTTATTATTATTATTATTATTTTATTTTATTTTATTTTTTATTTTTATTTTTATTCATTTTATTTAGTTTTGTTAAAATGACAAATGAAGCTTTCAAAGAAGTGTCGGCGCCTTTTGTTGCATTTTCCAATTTAGTAAAAAATTTAGCTGTCAGGTGAGAAAAAATCATCATTATTATTTATTAAGAAAAAATTTAACAATAATTTAATTATTAAAGAATTAACAAAGGAAATTAATAGGTGTGTGGGTGCTTGGTTGGCGTACCTGCTTCTCGTAATACCTGTGTGTGTGGGGGGGGGGCAAGCTCAAGTTGAAATTATTAAACAATTTCGTTGAAATATCTTAAATTAAAACGAATCTCATCGTTTTATTTTTTATTAACAGAGAGAAAGAGAGAGAGAGAGAGAGAGAGTGAGAGTGAGAGAGAAAAGGGAAAAAGATGAAAATAGAAAAAAAAAAAAAAAAATTACACTCTTGATTGTTATTTATTTAAAAGTAACCTTTTTTCTAATGGGTTACAAAAAATAAAAAGGAGAAAAGAAAACCTTTTTCGTTCGTTCCTTTTTCTCTTTCTTTTTTTTTTTCTGCCGTTGCGTATTTTTAAATAAATAAATTTATTATACATAGGAGGGATAGTTAAATACATACGTATAAATTTTTCAAGGGATACCAAAAAAAAAAGAAAATTCCAGAAGTTTGTCGTATTTGGTTCGTTATTTATATTTTATGGATTTTTCGTCGTTTTTTATGTTTCGTTTATATTGCGGAAAAGCATTTAAAATTTTCCTTTTTTTTTTTTTTTAAAAAGAAAATTATTACCGTGGCGTCGTCACCTGTAAATTTATTTATTTAATGCTTCCTTCTCCCTCCTCCCTCCCATAATACTTTAATGTGTCGAGGTGTCGAAGAGGGGGGGGGGAAAAAAATTGTTTAATTTATTTAATTGAATGTAATCATCGGTGCGAATTATTTTATTTTCCTTTAATTTTTTTTTTTTACTCGTACGAAGGTGCGAAAGAGAACCTTTTGTTTTTTTTATTGTCGAATCAAAAAAGGTTTGTTGTTGTGTTTGTTGTTGTTGTTTGTTGTCGTCGCGTTTCTCATGTTTTAGATTTCATTTAGGTTAATTTTTCTTTTCTTTCTTTTTTTGTTGAGGGGGAGAGGGTATTGTACGTGTGTAAACAAGTTGGAAAAAATATTTAAAAAACTGTTTTAGAAGGTTTATTATTATTATTATTTGGAAAAATTTAAAAAAGAAAAGGTTAAAAGGGAAAAAATCAAGTCGAGAACAAAAAAAAAAGAAAAATTTTCTTTTTTATTAGAATTTTTTTAATTTAGCTTTAATCCGTTAACCTGATCTTTTTCTTTTTTTTTTCTCTTCGCGATGAAAAATTTGTTATAGTATCGAGGAAAAATGTTTTACCAAAAAAAAAGGAGAAAAATGGAGAAAAAAGGAAAAACAAAAAAAAAAAAAACAAAAATTTTCCAGTTTAAATCCGTTCGATAAAAAAAAAAAAAAAAAAAGAAATGACGTAATTACAATTTTTTTTTTCTTTTTTTTCGTAATGAGTTTTAATAAGTTTTCCAAGTTAATTAAATTCAATACGCGATTATTATTATTATTATTATTATTTACGACGCGTTGTCTTTTTTTTTTTTTTTTTTTTTTTTATTTTCACTTTAATTAATGACGATGAGGAAAAAAACGAAAAAAGAAACTAATTTCATTTGTAAATTTCTGTCGGATTTTTTGTTTTTTAATCGGAAACGGAAATAATTGAAAGGGAAAAAAAATATGAAAAGTTTTCCTTACTTTTCTTTCTTTTTTTTTTTTTGTTTGAAAAATTTAAAAATAAAATTCGGACTTTAGAAAATTTAACCTTAAAATCAATGGCCGGGGGGTGGGGAAGGGTTTAAATGTAGAAAATTTCATTTCGGTTTTATGAATTAAAAAAACATCCGTATCGAAAACGGGAAAAGGTTAGTCAGTCTGAGGACAATGGAAAAACCTTATTTATCAAGACGGAATGTTCAGATTAAAGTCTTTTAAAGGTTTCCCTCATTTATTAATTTTCCTTTTGCAAAAAAATAAAAATAAAAAAAAATAAAGAAAAAGTGTTTTACCCTTCTCCTTTCTTTTTCCGCCCCTCGCCCCTTCGGTCGTTGATTTACGATACTTTTCGACTTTTGTTTTTTTTTTTTTTTTTTTTTAATTTTTTCCTGCTGGGAAAAATGATGGCGACAGTCCGTGGAAATCGAATTTTTTTTTCTTTCGAGTTTAATCCTGGAGAAGAAAAAAAAAAAAAAAAAAAAACTTGACCAATGTTTTTATTACTTTTCCTTTGTTTTTTTTTTTGCCAGGGGGGGAGGAGTTGGAAGGGGCGGTTTAAAAGAGTCAGTATTTTCCCATCACATGGACTTAGCATTGCCTTAATGAACTCTTATTTTGTTTGTTTGTTTGTTTTCTTCGTAACTTTACTAAGATAATAATTCTTCACCTTTTCTTTTTTTTTTTGTTTGTTTGTTCTTTTCTTTGTTTGTTTGCAACAGATTTTTTTTTTTTTCGTTCAAAAAAATAAGGAAAAAAAAAGTAAAAAAAGATGATTTTTTTTTTCCTGTCGTAAATTTTATCGTCGAAAACGACGTTAATTTAGTTTTTTTTCTGCATCATTCGCTTGAAATACATTTTAAAATTTATGTATATATAGTTTTTACGACGACCTTTTATATAAATATAAAAAGGAAATTACGAGATAACCGGAAACACACAAATATTTCGAACAAAAATATTTTTTTCGCAACATAATCGCACGCAAAATTTTTCCCGCGTTGTGTAAAATCAATGTTTAATGGGTTTTATATTTTTTTTTTTTTAAAGAAAAAATCTATCGAGCTCTTTCTAAAACGTTGGTGGAATGAGGTAGGGGGAGGGGGTAAAAAAAAAAAAACTAATTTGAAATCTTTACTAGCTAAATATATATATATATAAATAAATATAAAATTTATTTTATTTTATTTATTTTTCTCTCGCACAGCGCAACTGGTGGAGCTGATAGTGATGCTGCAGTCGAAGAAGAAGATCAAGGAGATGAGGAAAAAGAAGGTGGAATCGGTGGGGGTAAGTTGGAAAATCGAATAGAGTTTCGATTATACATCTTTTTTTTATTTCTTTTTATACATTTATATATATTTTCTTTTTAAGGTGTTAGTATATAATGAAAAAGAGGAATTTTCTCTCTCTGCGTTTATCATTTATTATAATCATTATTATTATTGTTATGATTATTATTATTATTATTTGTTAATAATGTTATTTCGTAGAAAAATTGTGATTGCGTAAATGATTTCAATTTTAGTTTTTTCTCTCTTTTTCTTTCTCTCTCGAAAATGAAATCAAAACAAAATTTCTAAAAGTTAAGAAATTGCAATTTTGAATTTTTATCCGTTCCCGCCCTTGCCCCCGTCCCGTAAAACGGGAATAAAACGTAAATGTACAAAAAAAAATTAAAAGGAGGAAAAACCTTTTTATAGTAATCAATTTAGGGAATGACTAAAACTAGATTTTCATTTTAAATTTTAGTGTCTAATAAAGCGGTGAAAGGAGCTAAAACATTAGGAAACTTTTTATTTTCCGCTGTGAACAAAGCCGGTGAAACAGTTTCGAAAGCTGGAGCCAAAATCAAAAAAACAGTCGAAGAAAATGTAAGTCAATTACGACCGTAACGGTTGTTTTTATTATTATTATCATCATCATCATCATCATTGTTAATATTTCTTTTCTTTTCATTTTTCTTTCTTTTTTTTTTGTTTGGTGGGTGGGAGGAGAGGAGGGGGTTTTCATTTCATATTTTAATTTCCTTTTCACTTCAACAAGTTGATTTTTTTTTTTTTTGTTCTTCTCTCCTTTCTCTCCTCCTCCGTAAACCTTTTTTTCTCTTGCGTTTTGGTTTCCCGCTGTTTTTTATTTTCCTCCCCTCCTCTCTCCCCTCCTTTATTTTCCCCCCCTCAAGGGAAAAAAGTTTTTAAAAGGAGCCGAATAACTCACAAATCGATCATAAATTAAAAAATTGCGTTTGAATCGATCGAGTAGGATTTTATAGTGGTTTGAATTTTTGTTTTTTTTTTTCGCGAATGAAAAAAATTTGTTGGAAAATTCGTCGGAAATTTTTTTTTTTTTCATTTATCGATCCGCATTAACGTGAAAATTTTTTTTTAAAACTTTTCCACGCCTGTTTTAACGAACAATTATAATGTTACGAACGAACGATTTTGTCGTTTCGAGACATTTTTTTTTTCTTTTTTTTTGAATGGATGGCAGACAGGGAAGGAAGGAAGGAACGTAAAAAAGCTGTTCGCCGTTCAGATCGAACGTAATCGATTTTTTTTTTTTAATTTTAACGTCACGGAAGCGATTAGGGGAATTTTGGGTTTTTTCCCCTCCTTTTTACAATCGCGAATTTATTCGTTTCATAATTTTTTTTTTCTCTTGCTGACAAGTTGAATTTCGGTTTTTTCTCCCCCCCCCATCCCCAACCCCTTATTCTCACCCGTACCGGAAAAATAATTTCTGGACGATATCGAAGTAAAAAAAAAAAAAGACATTTTTAAAACTCAATTTTTAATAAAAGAATTTTCCGGATAAACGTTTTTCTTTTTTTTTTTTTGGGGGGGGTGTGGGAGTTTTCGAGTTTTGCCCTTTCGAGTGTTTTTGTTTCAAAAGTTATTAAACCCCCTCTGTTTTAGAAGGAGAGGGAGGGAGGGGGAAAACTCAAAAAAAAAAAAATTTCTATGGTTTGACTAATTCTTTTCCGAGCTGGAACCTTTTTCTGTTTTTTTTCTGATAAGTCAGCAACTTAATTTGTTTTCCGGTTTTTTTTTTTGGTTTTTTTATTCATAATCCCTTACAAAAAAAAAAAAAAGATGTTGAAGTTGAAAATTTAGTAATGAATTTTATCGTTTGAAAAACGAAAAAAAAAAAAAAAATTTTTTTTGGAATTTAGTTTCGAAACGACATTTGAATTGGAAAGGTTTAAAAAAATATTTAAAAAAAAAAATGATGATTTCTTATCGATCGTTGTTAAAGTTATCGCAAAACAGACAATTCGAGATTGAACCCTTCCCCCCCCCCAAAAAAAAAAAAAAAAGTTTTAATTTTCATTCATTCTTTACGCTCTCCCTCGCCCCCCCCCCCGCTTCCAAACGTCAGTCGAGTGAATTTGTTTTCGAGTTGATTAAAATTTTTTCGTTTTTTTTCGTCGTCGTCGTCGCCGCCCACGCCTTCGAATGAATGTTTATTCGTCTGAATTGTTTTTTTGGATTGCATGGAAAACCCCTCCCTTTTTTTTTTGTTGGAGCCACGACGGGTTCGATTTCCGGTTTTCCGATTCACGAGTTTTTCTCACGTAAATGTGTGTACGTGGTGTTTTGATTCATTTCAAAACTCTGTATTTTTTTTTTTCTTTCCGGGAGCCGTAAAAGAAAGTAAAGAAATAAATATAAAAAGAAAAATTTAATTTTTACCCCCC